TTGGTTGTTACTCACTACTGACGGCACTGCTCCAGCAGTTAGTCGACGGCGATGTACGTGCTCCGTGGTAATCATGACCGGCAACAAAATGCCTTGAACAGAGCCTGGAATGAGCCAATATTGTTATACAATACACCATTGTTCTCGGCGAACATCACCCATTGACGCTTCCGATCGACATTCGCTGGAAAACTAAAACAATCATAGTATTACGAATAGTTTTGTTATAAAATATTTATACTATTATATAAATACCCATGCATTGAAACGCCATCCACGCCATCGACGTTGCCACAGATCACGCAATATTTTACCATTGTTATATTTGCCTAAAGAGATATATAATAACATTTTGAAAAGGTAACGGCCAAACATTTTATATATTTTATTATAATAATAATATAAGTAAAACTCCGTGTTCGTGTAATGGAATTGTCTTATCAGTACCCATGTTATCAGTGAATAATCCGGTGTTGTGTGTTTATTTTTAGAAATTCAGTAAATTGTATTATTCTTACAGTATACTTCTTACAGTTACTAGGTATAAAATATTATTACGTGTACATATACAGTATCATGTTCGAGTATGAACTAAACAAAATTAACATACTATATTACTATTTATAAATATGGTCTCGTAAGTCGTAACTGCAAAAAGCGTGGCTTAAAGATTTTTGTGAACGTGGGCGTTTAAGTCTATGTCCGGATATTATGAACACGGCAAGCGGAAATCCAAATGTCGTATTAATATCGAATACGAAACCGCGTAAAGGCGGAAATGGCGTGTATATAGTAATAAACAATATCGCGTATACGGAAACGCATCGAATGAAATACGTACAATGTCATGAATAAGCCAGTAGGTACGCGCGGGCTATACAAACGTTATACGATTAATTATTATAATGTATTTCAAAATTGTACTTACCGGTTTTGAAAAGCGCCCAACGTAGAACACAATACGCCAAGAAAAGCTAATATATTATAGGTATAACTGTATAAGCTTTTATATTATGTTTTTCTGTGCGCTTGGGTTGTGTGTTGCATGGGCGTTCGTCACAAGATGACAATATTGGCTCATTCCAGGCTCTGTTCAAGGCATTTTGTTGCCGGTCATGATTACCACGGAGCAGCCGTACATCGCCGTCGACTAACTGCTGGAGCAGTGCCGTCAGTAGTGAGTAACAACCAACCGCTGCATTAAACAAATAGTGTCAGGCTGTACCTACCACATAAGATTCACTCACTTGATCATTACATTACTACCTATTCGTTTCACTTGACCACTCATAAAGTGTGAATTAAAATATTATTTCAATATACATATTTGGTGGCAGGTATTTTACTCTGGCTACAGTGTTATACTATACCTACTAGACTACCTAATAGGTACTTACATTAAGCAGGCCCTGATTTAATAAAATTTGGGCCAAGTGCACAATTTTTTTGGGGGCCCCCTATCCCCCCGGCCACCACCACAAGTCAAAAAAATGTTCTAGAGAAAATCTATACAGAGAGTAGGAGGAAATATTGATAATAAAACAAAATATTTATATGTTAAGTATTACCTAAATAAATATCTCAAAATTCATAAAATATTTGTACATTATTTCATATACTATAAATACAATTTAGTTACTTGGTCTGGTAAATTAAGGACATTGAAAAGATAATACTAATTAAATAACATAACTAATTATCAATCTGCCATAAAATTATAAAAATGGTAAATAACTTGTTAATTTAACAATTTATTTTATACAATTAAAATTAAATAAAAAATAAATCATTTATCTATATTTTCTATACCTATTTATATTTTTATTTAGTTATAACATTTTATCACAAAAAAAGTTTAAAAAGATTTCTTTCTTGCTTTTTTCTCTGCAAACGTTTCAATAACTGATTCAAAATTTTTTTTTTATATATTAGTTTATTTATAACATTTGTTTTGCGATATTCATTTCCGTGGATAACTGAATAACCTAAACCAATAGTTCTAAAAATGGTAATTGTGGGAGCGAAATGCGTCACCAACGACCGGTTAATCAGTAAATACTGGGCTGGAAGAAATCTATAAATAGTTATTATGTATCAAATATTTCCGATGTTCGAACAATTTTCTATTATTATTATTTTAATATGACGTATTGAGGTGAAGAATAACTTATACTAGTATAAGGTCTATGGGAATTATAATTTATTAAAAATAATTAATTTAAAAAAAATTTTAATACAGAAAATTTTCTACAATTCACGGAGATCGGGGGCCCCCAAAAATTTGGGGCCAAGTGCAAGTGCTCCATCTGCACTTGCGTAAATCAGGGCCTGTCATTAAGTCATTGTTGTTGGTTAACATTCTGTATTATTTGCTGTTTCATTAAACACTGGGTAAAGCTTAATATGAAAATACTTGAACGTTTTCTTACACAGTTCTTAATATTACTAATACTACTACTACTACTACTACTACTACTACTACTAATACCGCTATTAATACACACTCGTCTAGACGTCTAGTCGCCTGCACGTACACGCGCCAGTAGTCACAGACCACAGTACGTACACGGGCACAAGTATTGTTGTGATACTAGTTATAATTATTTAATTATTATTATTCATTTTAATTTAAATTGTTCAAAATGGAATGGAGTAATGAATCGTGTCTAAATTTCATTCAACATTATGAACTCCACCCAGTGCTATGGAACCCAAAACATAATTATTATTTTTCCAAAACAAAAAAAAACGAAGCATGGGAAATTATTGCAAAGAATATAAACAGGGACGTTGAAGATGTTAAGAAAAAGAGCCAAAGTTTGTTGGGTTCTTATTGGCGTGAAAAAGCCAAAGGTAAAAGGTCAATGGGAACTGGTACAGGTATGTATAATATTGATACCTACTATAACCATTTGTATGGCAGTATTATTTATAGAGTATAGTTTTATTATATACTAAATAAACCAAGTGTCCGAGTTTAATAATATAAATAATAATATATGTAAATAAATCGTGATATTATTTGTTCAATTTTATTAATATTTCCAAGAAAACTACAGTAACTCAAAATTATAGCTTTGTGTTACAAGTACAAATTAACTTAAAAATAAAATAGTATAAGCAAATAGTAATTTCAATAAAATACAAATTTAAATAATAAATTATTTTTCATTTAGCAAGAAAAGACGTTTATATTTCGAAGTGGTTTGCGTTCGAGGCGTTTAAGTTTATGCATGACCGAGATGATCCTACTCTCCAAACTCCAACTCTCAACACAGAAAACGTGAGTAGTAGCACAGATATAGCACCAATATTTATAATACAATATAAATTCTTATTTCTTAAAATTAATAATAATCATACATATTAAATAAAATATTAATTTCTAATATAATATATATTTTATTAATGATGATTATAAATAATATATAATTTATAATTATAAATTATACAATACTTATGAATAATTATTTTGCCATGGTAAAGCTCCATTACCAATGAAATACGTAGCAAATTCATTTCTTATTTCTTGAGCTGATGTCTTTGATCTGCGAGGAACATTTACTAGAGGCTGTAATGGTTGTACATTTTGTCTCCAACTCCCTTCGACCAATTGTCCATCTTTCTCAATATCAAATGAACCTGGTGGATTGTATATGTTACGTGATGCTCTACTTCTTCTTAAAAAATTAAACGCAAGTAAACGATAGTTAGCACAACTACTTCAGCTTTTTGGGGCTCTAATAATAATGGTTTACGTAGGACACGAAAAACAGAAGAAGCTATTCCAAAGACATTTTCTACGACTCTCCTACATCTACTTAGACGGTAGTTAAATATTCGCTCTTTTGATCCTGTTGCATGAATGCCAGAAAAAGGTTTCATAATGTTTTCTGTCAATGGGAATGCCTCATCAGCCACTATAACATATGGTACATTCATATTTCTTTGTGGCAATGGCGACGGCTGGTGAATTCTCAAGCTTTTATTTTCTATTTGTTTGTTTAACTCACAGTTCTTAAAAACACCACCATCTGAAATCCTACCTTGACAACCCACATTTGCGTATATAAAATTATAATCTGCATCAACTAGAGCGAATAATACAATACTAAAAACCGATTTATAATTGTAGTAATCGCTTCCACTTTTAATTGGACATTGCAACGTTATGTGCTTCCCATCCATTGATCCAATGCAATGAGGGAAGTTCCACTGCTTTTCAAATCCTTCGGATATAGCTGTCCATTCTTCGGGAGTTGAGGGCATCTATAAATATATTATAAAATAATTTTTATTTTGTGTGAAGTGTCAAAAATGTACTTGTTTTTGAATGATATGTATTTTACGATTTTTGAAAAATTTCGTGTAAGGTCGTATAAATTCCGTACTAAATGTTACGAATTCAAATTAAAAAAAAGTATTTTTATAATTTTATTTGAATACTTTATGCTTTAAATGTATGTTAAATTATTTATAAAATATTCTGTATCGGAATAAGAACGAAGTATTTATATGAATCTATAGATTTAAATAAGTACTTATTAACTTATTTGTGTGTTTGCAGTATTACCGGTGGGCGGTGATTAGTAATAATAATTTGATATTAATAATTTTTAAAATTGTTCTTTTTTTACTTGGTCTTTTTTATTGATAACCGTATTTTACACATAAATAATATTTGTTGTTGATATTTAATAATATATTTATAATACTTGATATATTTGATTTTAATATTATTTTCCAGCTTAACTTTGAAGATTTAAATGAATCCCAAAACTATATAGCTGATATTAATGTAGTGGATACATCTCAAGACAACATTAGTCAAAGTTGCAAGAAAAAGAAAGCGACGATGTGCCATTTGTTAGTTCACAGCCCCCAAAGAAAAAAAAGAAAACCAATTTGGTAGATGAACGCCTTCAAGAAGCGTTTGAAATTTTGAAAAGACCGTATCCATTGTCCAGCATTTAATGAATAATTTGTTATTTGAAGCTGATATGGGTAAATACGACGCAAACCCTTTTCAGTTCGTTCAGCCATCTCAACATTTCCTTTATCAAAATTCGCCATCAACGTCTTTTTATCAAAACTTACCATCAACGTCCTTTTCTCATAACTCACCATCAACATCTTTTAATCAAAATTCGCCATCAACGTCTTTTTCTCAAAACTCTCATAATTCTTTTGCATCGTCTACTCCTTCTCATACACCAGTCCCTTTACTTTCAACAGACAGCGAGATACCATATAATTCGGTTATTTCTGCATCTACGCCAAACAACAAAAACTTACAATCATCGGAGTGTATGGGGTTTAATTTCCAGGAAAACTTAGATTCTACTTTAGTTTAAATAGTACCTATATAATGTAGATCAATGATCATGTTGCTTAATTTTTTATTTTATATCTACTACAAGGATTTTGTTTTTTTTTATGTTTTTAATATTGTTATTATTTTAATTTCAAAATTTTTATAATGAAGATGATTATGTTGTTTAATTTTTTATTCACAACAAGAATTTTAGTTTATTTTGATACTTTAAATATTATTATTTAAATTTATAATTATAACAATTAAAACAGAGGCATTTGTTTCATTGATATTATACTAAAATCATTTTTTTATTATTTTTATATTTATTGTTAAATTATATTTTACATAAACTTATTTCAATCCCTCAATTATTTTATATCTTACCTTTATATATTCATGAAGGACTTCCACGAGAGCTCGACACACTTCCGGTATTATACGGGATATTAGTTGCTTAGAAATTAAAAAAGTGTACTGCAAACTTGTGAACGAGTCTCCTGTAGCCAAAAACCGCAACGTTACAGCTAATCTTTTTTTCAATTGAAACAGCTTTTCTTAATTGTGTATCTTGTTTCATGATATTCGGACCAATTTTGCCCAATAAAAATTCAAAATCTTCCGACTCCATACGGACAAAATTTTTAAATTGCCCAGTGGTCTCATCAAAACGCAAATGAGTCATTAAAGTAGGCTGATTTTCACGTTGCTGAAATAAATGTGTAGTCCACCATCTTCTACTTGTTTTACTTGCTTTTTTTTTTTTAAAAATAGAGTGAATTATCAAATACGCCGCACTTTTCATTTTTAGTTCATGTTCGACTAAAATGGCATTTGATCTTAATGACATGATTAAAAAAGATGTGTGTAAACACTACAGTGACAAAAATCAATAAATAAATAATAAATAATTATATTGAAACACAACATTCACTGTATACATTCACCAAGCAACTGAATAACCGCAGCTCAATATCACATGAAAGCTGTTGTGCTTACTACGTCCATACTGAGCACATACAGCACATACAACACACATCGTGAGCACACATGCTCGGTCTGTGCGTGCACTAGTGTGTACGCGGCTTAAAGGTGCGTCCACATTAAGGTGCGTCCACATTAGAACAAATTTGTGGGTGCGTTGAATTTTAATCTCGACTGGCGCACGTACGCCGAAAATTGGGATTATGTTTAATTTGTATATTGTGCGTTGTACGTTGTATTTTCATGCTCAGACTTTGTGGCAGTATATTCTGTAGTAGTTAACAGTGTTAACAACTGTGTAGTGTGTATCCACAATTTTAGTTATTTTATTTAATTATTTATTATTTATTAGTAATAATAGGTTCATATTAGTCATCACTCATTATGAATGAAATTGACATCAGAAAAAAAAAAGCCGCAGCATTTATAGTCATTCACCAAATATTAAATAAAAAAACAAAAACAAAAACAAAACATCGGCAAAGACGTTGGTGGATAACAAAGTTATACCAAAATAAATTACATAACAATGGCTCAAGTTTGTTATCCACTTTAAAATTCGACGAAAGCACTGGACAATTCAAAAATTTTCTTCGGATGTCTTCACAAGATTTTGAGACTTTAATAAATATGGTTGGGCCAAAAATACAAAAAAGTGATACACGTTTTCGGAAAGCAATTCCAGTCAAAGAACGATTAGCGGTTACTTTACGCTTTCTTGCTACCGGTGATTCGTACACAAGTTTGCAGTACCTTTTTGGGATGTCCAAACAAATAATATCACTTATTATTCCAGAAGTTTGTGAAGCACTTATTGAAGGACTTCAAGATAACATTAAGGTAAAATACATAATCATATAAAATTACTTTTTTTGTGATTTAAAATATTACATAACAATATTATAATATTTTTAAAATAAAACAAAATAATAGTATAATAATATTCACCTTTGAATTTGTAACTGAGCATACAATATATTAAAAAAAATATTATATGTCTTAATTATTTGAAAACAATAGTATAATAATTCAGTCTTGAATTTTTTAATTGAGCATACAAGATATATTTAAAATAGTATAGTATTAATTTCTAAAATTAAAAAAAATAATAATAAAATAATTCACCTTTGAATTTTGTTACTGAGCTTACAATATATTAAAAAAAAATATTATATTTCTTAATTATATGAAAACAATAGTATAACAATTCAGTTTTGAATTTTTTAATTGAGCATACAAAATATATTTAAAATAATATAGTATTAATTCTAAAATTAAAAAAAATATTAATAAAATAATTCACCTTTGAATTTGTAATTGAGCTTACAATATATTAAATACATTATAGGAATAAAGTGATAATAAAAAAAAAATAGTTAATTAGAGAACTCGTGAAAAAATTCTTGTAAATTGGAATAACTTGCTTGTGGTGTAGTAGAGGAGTCCGTAACTGAGGATACAGAACCTGGCGAAGTTACATTTATATAAGGAGATGCAGGAGTAGTTTGGATATCTGCTACCAAATCAGTTGGCATGGAGTAATGTGGAACATGAGATTGTTGTGAGTAGTACGAAGAATTTGGGGGATTATTTTGAATAGAAGAATAATGGTTAAATTTACCCATATCTGCCTCAAAAAATACATTATGTATTGCGTGTTCTACTAATGCACGTGTCTGTCCCTGGTAAGTGTCTAATTTATTTGCGATGTATTGCGCATAAACCAAAGACGAACTAGGATTTTGTATGGGTGCCTTTATAAAATCAAAAGCTTCTTGTATTCTAGGATCTTCTTCAATCAGTGATTTTTTAAGACGCTTAGTTTTCGGTTTGAGAGGCTTAGGAGATGAAGGTACAACAAATTCACTTTTGTCTTGGGTCAAATTTGGTTCAATAATAGCTTCACTTATAGTATTCGCTTGTAACAAATTATCATGGAGTATGTTTTCATCTGAACAATTAACTAATTCTTCGTTATCTTTCTCTGAATCTCTGATATTGTCAAAAACCTCTAAAGTTTTGTCAAGATCACTGTCATGACCACCCTATAAAAATTAAAACTTAAAAATGTGTGCTAAAATTATAATTATTTATAACAATATTATTACAATCATTTTAGATCTGAACGGAGCAACCTATATATTTAATTTACAATGATTTATGTGTTTATATTTTTTTTTTATTTTTTATTTCGGTCTGTAAAAGATAAGTAGTCGAAATAATGATTTGGTAATATCACTAATATCATAATATTTTTATATTCTCATTTTCTATACACCATACAAATTTGAAAATATTTTGAATCGTTTTGAGCTATTTGCGGACATTTTCAGTTTTCAATTTTTTAGTTTTTTTTGTACAATTGCCAATAAAATTTTGTTTGTTGGGTTAAAAAGCGTGAAAATTTAATACAAGGCTCCTGATATATTGTTACAATAGTAGTTGAAAAATATTAAAAATACATAGGCACAATTATTTTTATAAACATTTAAGGTTAAAATTTTAACAAAATTTATCAAATTTAAATTTTAAAATTATTTTGTAGTTAAAAATGTATAAAATGTTCAACTTTTACAGTTGAGGATTGAAAATTTAAAACAAGGTTCCACGTAAATAGTTTATAATATATAAATTACTTTATTCACAATAATACCATCAAAATATATACTTAGTAATATCATAGGTAGGCTGACTGACCGTCTTCGCTCAGAATCGTTTTTCTTATACAATGATATTATATCATTGGATTCAAATTTAACATTATCCATTACAGTGACTCACTTGTAGCCTACTGTACAGCAGAGCTACACCCACTTGCCCACCTTTTTCAATACAATTTTAATATTTTATGAACATTAGTAATGGTACCTTTCATACCGTGTACATTGTTGGAAATGTATTTTATTATCATAATGTTGCGCCGTTTGGTATTCGAATCATGTAATAAACTTTCAAATACTTTGACAGAGGGAAACATTTTTTATTATAATTTATAAAATTTTTTTTAAAAAAATCGAAGGTTGAAGATGCTTTTAAATAGCTTTAAATTCGACATAATACATTATATAAGTAACAATTTTTATAACATTTTCAGTTGCCCTCAAATCCGGATGAATGGTTAGCAGTATCTGAAAAATTTGAAAGTCTTTGGAATTTTCCACACTGCTTGGGAGCTATGGACGGAAAACACATTGTACTTCAAGCTCCTATTCATAGTGGAAGTGTATATTATAATTATAAATCTTTCTTCAGCATCGTATTGTTTGCCTTAGTAGATGCCGAGTATAATTTATTATATGCTAATGTAGGATGTCAGGGCAGAATCTCGGATGCAGGAGTTTATCGTAATAGTGATAGTAGTATAAAAAGGTAGGTTCTGATGCCTCATCCCATTATCCCATTATCCTTGCATTATCCCCTCATCCTCATCCCATTATCCCATTATCCTTGCATTATCCCCTCATCCTCATCACTCATCACACCGCGCGCCGCCGCCGCCGGAACCGCCCGATCATGACACCGCACCCGCATCCTCATCACTCATCACTCATCACACCGCCCACTGCTCGCGTACGTGCGTGACTTATATTATTGTTATCACTGTTATCATATTATTTCCGTTATCAGTGTTATCATATTTTATCACTGTTATCATATTATTTCCGTTATCACACCGCCGCCGCCACCGGCCGAAAATAAGCTAAAAATTTTTTTCCGGACCGGGATTCGAACCCGACTCCGTCGGTTCGGCCAGCGATCACCGTACCACTGCGCCACCCCGACACATATATTTTATAATAATAACTTACCCTATTTAACAGGTACGTATTACTTATTTTGAATTGTATAATATCAGTGTTATCATTATAAAATATACGTTATCAGTTACCGTGAACATGTTTGTATATCATATCATTATAAAATTATTTCCAAGATATATGTAATAAAATATACGTTATCAGTTACCGCGAACGTGTTTGTATATCATATCAGTGTTATCATTATAAAAATAGACTTTGGAGAGATTCGAATTCTGATGTATAGTTGCCATAGCTT